CAGAATCTTGCGGGAACGGGCGGGAGCGGGACTGAAAAATCCGTCCCGCGCAGGTCTCTAGTCTACGGGAATGACTTCCTTTTGGAGTCGGTCTCTAGCAGCCAGTCGATGAATTGCAGTTTAAGTCACTTCCGTGTTGGTTTCAAGAGACAGACTGGAAGGTTGTCGCTTGGGTGTAACTCACCACAGAAACACCAATTTTCCCTCCCAACTCAAGGCATTTTTGTAATCACTCCGCTCCAGCTCCACTCCAGGTTTTCATTTTCCCACTCATTCACCAATGAGAGAAACCCTGCTTTGAGCAATCCAAACCACAGAAGAAAAAAACACTCCTCGCTGTACACAAAATTGTCTCTGCTCACTGCACAGACAAAATTATGTGTAGCAGTGTTACCATGACACCTCATCTATAAATTGTTAATTTATATTCATGTTGAGAAGGCAATGAGAATGATGTAACGGCTGTACTACTGCGACTCAACTTCTATCGTCAGTCACGCGAGATTCACTTCTCATAGCGAGATAAGGAATGAATGTTTAAAAAACATCAGATAACATTATATGTGTCACTTTGACAGAGCCGAGGACCCTTTGGAGTTCCATCATGGCAGCATGTCCTGATGCAGAGGACCATTGGATCAAGAAGAAAATAAAGCGCCTACACATTCTGGAATTCATTATAGGTGAAACAAGACTTCTGAATCTTTCTCTCTGCTCATATTAACCTGCAAAAGTCCAGGTCCAAAACATCCACATAGATGCAGTGCAAATGGATTGGACAAAAACTTCAAAATTCCTCACACTGCATATAGTTTTTCTGAGCTAGCAAATGAAATAAAGGAGTTTATTTAATGTTAGCTGTTAAACTAACAGAGTGAGGAATCTGAAAGTCCTTTAGATTGATGAGTAGACTCAAATGATCAAATGAATGCAGTGAAGAACTGGTGATGCAGTCCACAGAAAAGTTCTTCTTTTTAATGTTGAAACACAGTATCATCTGACTCTAAGGTAAGTGTGGGGTGTATGTGTGTACTGGTCTGTCCATAGTGTTGTATGTTTACATGTGTGTAAATGGCTCAGTGATCGGCTCAGTGTGTGATGCAATAACTTTGTCCCAGCCTTTACATTCCTAATCCAATTAGAACACTTCTCAGGCCGTCTGCCTGTAACATTTTGTGTATGTAGACTCTAAAAAAAGTACATGAAACAGGGTCCACTGTGCTAATTGAAGGAATTTTCTGTATTAATTTTTTAATTCACAGGAATTTTCCCCAGATTTTAAATAACGCATTGTACTGTGTTGTATTTTAGGGTTGAACGAAACTTAACGCAGGGCTTGCAAAATCGCTAGCCCGACGTCCCAGGGCTATTGTGTTTTACTTCCAAAATGCATCACCGCCCTGCCAGACTGGCTATTTTGAATAGTGAAATAAAATCCCTTCCTTGATTTGCGCTGTTCACTCACTTGTAGGGGTGAAACGGATCGTATGATCATTTGCACGTGTTTCTAAGTCTTGCCAATTTAAACATTCAAGC